AAATTTGTCGAATGTCCGGTTGTGGATAGAACACCCCGTCGCGCGGAGGTCTTGTACACGGGACACATATACGTCCCGCTCGTATCGATTTCGTTCAGTCTGCGGGGTTGCAACCATATCTGTGACAGAATAGGCAAGAATGGAATGAGATAGGAGATTTTAAAAACCCGTTAGCTTTTGATTGAGACTAAAGTGATCACATTTCAAGCAGTGCACAGGTATTGATCGAACTCCTGCTACACCGGGACTTTGAACACATCCTCTTCTCTCAATGTCTAACAGTCTAGGCCTCATGTACGTGAATGGATATGATATTATCCCACACCAGACACAACAGATATCTAAGAGTACCACTTATATAACTGCTTCTGTCAGTCGAGTGAATTATAAACGTACGGCTTTTCAATTCTGATGATTGATGGTGGTGCATCAGTTGCAAGGTAGTCGGCCTTCAGTGGGGAAAACGAATAAGAATATATTTATAAAAATGACTGATACTCATGGCACAGGTATTGTTATTTCGTTTTCTCAATACGCTTTGAGTACGCATCTATCCTTCAGTTTTTGGATCAGTCGATTTGGCATGAAGCCCACCAACTGGGCAAACAAATTGCATTGGTCAGTTTCCTTCGGTACACTTCNCTAACGACCACCCTCTAGATAGCTCAATTGTCTCGGTCTCTAACAAGGGGAAATCGTTTTCAATCACATTCAGATTCGAACTGTTGTATGGTAAGTAAATTAATTCGATTTTGAAACTTTGCATTCAAGAAGCTATTTAAATATCAGAAAACAGTATGCATAATACTAAAACTATCTAAAAAACTATATAAGATAAATCTCGCGTGAGACATGACAAGGAGCGTTATCTTGGAAAAATATGGGTTTTGTGTGTGTTGCGAGAGTAACAGTTCCCGTAATCCTGATTGCTCAGGGAAACGACTTTTTCGTCATCCAGGTTGTCGTGTACAGAAGCCAAACGACAAGTGTTCTCATATTTGATTTGAAACTGATCTCCTCAAGAACGACTGATATAACCTGAATTTGTTGGAATAATGAATACCTGCCCTCCGTCCCATAACGGCTTCTTATTGGCTGCTCTCAATCACAATTCTAATTTAGTCATCCTTAGTCATCCTTTTCCGAGTGGTGGTATCAGAAATTCTGGCGAAATCAGGCCAAAGTACAGTCGATAGCAGATGTTCACTATTGTTGTCAGCTGCAATTGCATATAATTTTCGTTTTGTTGAGATGTGATCATTTTTGTTCTTTGATGGGAAATGAGGTTCAGATCTCAGATATTGAGAGTCACATCTGATCAAGTCGACAAACACTTATATATCTGACGAGGTTGCAGAATATTTTCATAGTAGTTCGGTTTTGAAAAGATTGACAACCTGGGTTGAATTAAACAAAGCGTGCTTCTCAATCAGGCAGCATTTTGGAAAACGTGATTGGAATAGTTGTGCTTTTTCCGACTACTTAATACCAATATGTTTTGAACCATGTCCATTTATGACATCATTTTCTAACGATCTTTCAGAATCACTGGATATTTCCTTTGAAGTTGTATTGCCACACACCCTTATCTCTGAAAATGTGGAAAATCTCAGTATGTTCTCCTTGAACCCATCTCAATAAACAGAAGCGTATAAGCTTTCATACATCTTTGTGGACTTGACAAAATTGGAAACAGGATTGGACATGCACGGGCCGGTCAAATTGCGCCGGTGACCGGGACAGATAATATTTAATACTCACTGCATTCTATTCTCCAAGGAGTGCGTAAAAATGGGACCAGTGGACTTCTTATTCTCCAAGACCGGAATAGATATGCCCCCAAAGGCCGTATATGCCCAAAATTTCGCGACTCCGTATAGTACCTTGTTTTCAATCTCACTTTTAGCTTTCATTGGGCCGCTAGCATTACAAACTTCAATACAGCACGCAATTTGGTTTTATACATGTATGGTTGAAAGACCACCAGGTTGCAAAAACTCAAATCCTAAGCTGTTGGTTATAATGCTGTCTTACATTCTTCCTGGTTTAAAAAAAAAGATTTCCCCTTTTTCTCCAGTAGTTTCTGAAATTGTTCTAACCTAAAATGTAATTGATAGAGCTGTTTTGGTTTATTCTGTTTTCAATCATTTCGATACATTCGAACCGGTTTACTAATGGGAAAACTAGTCATGAGCCGCACTGTCTGCGACATGAAATCATGAAAGATGTGTCGAATCCTCGAAAACACACGCTTCAAATTTCAACTCTGCACTACGCATGTCTATAAGCATGCAGTAATTGTACCGTTCCGTACTTTGCTCATTTTTCAGGCAATCGTACGACATTGTTCATGTTTTAAGGAAAGGCTCTTGCATTTAAAATACACCTGCAGTACAATTTCAACACTGTTTCTCTTATTTCGACATCACTGTATATCCATTGAACAAATTGACGAGGTGGTGATAATTCTCCCTTAGGGTACAATAAACGTTTCTAGACTTGATAACAAGTGTTGACCAACTTCATTACGCCAAACCTTGTGATTCTCACCCTATTATGAAGTTAGGTTTACCACTGAATCGACTGAACTACGCGCCTGTAAACTGCCTTTCCTGGATCAGACTATTTCCAGCGTAAAATTGTTCCCCGNCGCTACTTTTGTCAACAAAAAACACATACCACAGGGATACTGTCAAACAAAATTTTCGGCTTCGATTCGGCCAATCGATCCTCAATTGGGTCCCATCGTGCTCCCTCCAAAAACAAACCGGACACGTAAGCCCCGTCATCCGGTTTGGTGAAATCACCAAAATGATCGGCCGGTCGTGTTTTTGTGGTTTGCATCAGAGTGACTGAGGCGACCGAGGCACGTTTGGCTGAGGCAGATATGATCGGATACTCGGGCACGGCAGGTGCATTCTCCAGCATACTCGGATGGTTAAAGTACTGATTGGTCACTGTAAAACTGAAGCCCAATGTGTCTATTGGGATTGTGTATTTGCGTGCGTAGTTCTGCAGTACTCCGGTCAAGAAAGATTGAGTGAAGTAGAAACCGGAGAGCCAGAACACAGGAGGAGCGTCGTAAGTCAGCCAATCGGCAAAAAATTTGAGTCTGCGTGGGAAAAGGAATTAAAGTCATTTGAAAAACACTTCATTGATTGAAAAGACAGAAGAACAATGTTTCAGTATTATTCATGGAAAATTTCCTAGTTTGATACTATTCACTGAATGATTTGCAAAACACTGTTACCGCTATATGCAAGTAGCTAAACCTACATCGTTAATTACCGTAATGTGTTGTAATACCAAGAGGATGAAGCACGAGAAACGTGCCACTTTCTGTCCTCATCCTGTTGTCTGTTTCGACAATTGAAGCAGTGTTTTACAAAACAGATAGACAGCGTTTAGAACTATTACAGTAAGTAGTTTAAAATTTGTGATTACGATCTGGGATACCAAGTGCAGAAAGTCCCGCGTGGAAGGTGGAGTCGGGATTACAATACAAATAAAATTAATTTGTATCTTTCGTTTAATCGAAAGATGAGACCAGTTGATCAGATCTAACTAACTTATAAAAATAATTTCATCGTGTACAGAGTAAATGAGGTGTGAACTGAGGAGCTATGAAGTATGTGAACATCTGTTTCAACTTTATTTGGTCTCATCTGCAGTGCGAATCCGGTCATCCAACTGAGGATCGAATCCGGTGCATCTAAGGTAGAATGCTAGTATACCGCTCACTGACATTTATCGATATTACCGACTTGAGGAAAAGTAAGTAAGTTTTTTGAAACCGAAACTGACCATCTGCTAAGCCCGTAGGCTTTGGCTAAGATGTACAAGTTGGGACGTCTGTTAGAGCTTTGTAAAAGTGGGCAATGTTCACTCGTGGTTAAAAATCAGTTACATTGAGTGAGCGGCATTATTGTCCCTCAGATATGAGTTTCCAGCTGGATCGATGGATGAGACACAACAAAGTCAAAACCGATGTACAGAGCCTCCAAAGTTTTCCCTTTTCTTTTACTTTGCTATGTGTACGACCAAATTTATCAAGTAAATAATTCTAATTCTTGGATAATATACCAACAGACGACTTCAAGAAAGAAAATCCGGTAATAAGCTTTCTGCTTGTCAAGGCTCACAAGTCGAGGAAACACTTTAGGGAATCCAAACGAGTACATTTCTTTACATTCGACAATTAAAATCCTATGAATAAATGTACGAAACTCTCCGTTTGACGTCAAATCAATCGACGTTCTAACCTTAGAATGAGATCCTGCACGTAGCTGCCCAGTGGCTTTAGCGATGGAAATGATTTGGCTGCCCATACACTGGGCAATTTGCCAACCAACATTGAATTGAACACATCCTCCAAATCCGCGGACATCACGACCAAACCTTTGATTGCCTTTTGCAAATTTTGCAACGTGGACCGAACAACGGCAGTGAGACGATTGAATCGAATCAGCTCTTGTCGCAACACTGTATTCATGGACTCCCGATAGATAACCGGGTAACGTTGCATTGCCTGTGATTATGTGGTGGATGAGAATGAGAGATGACGAATTTGCTCACAACGATATCAGGTAGTATGTCGGAAGAAACAATATTTTAAATTTATGATAAGAGCAAGAGATAGTTTCGTTAGTAAATCTAACTTAGTACGGGGCTAATTACCAGTTCTGATAGTTATATATATATATATATTTAACATCGAAAGATTCAAGGGTGAAACCTTGCTATTTTTGTTGTATTCTACCTTCCATCACGATAGTCTACGTTTATTTATTGTAACAGGAACTTGGACCAGCGTTTAAAGACGCTTGTGCAGAATATCTTTTTTTCAAACCACTAACACAGCGCAATC